TTCACACAGGGGAGAAGCCATATCATTGTCTGGAGTGTCCAAAGAGCTTCAGTCGGAAGACATATCTCACTTCTCATCAAAGAACTCACACGGGGGTGAAACCATATAAATGCTTGGCATGTGAAAAGAGCTTTAATCAGAAGACACATCTCACTTCTCATCAAAGAATTCACACTGGGGAGAAGCCATATCATTGTTTGGAGTGTGCAAAGAGCTTCAGTTGGAAGAGAACCCTCACTCGGCATCAAAGAATTCACACTGCGGAGAAGCCTTATCAGTGTTTGGAGTGTTCAAAGAACTTCAGTCAGAAGAGAAAACTTCTGACACATCTCACTTTTCATTAAAGAATTCACACTGGGGAGGAGCCATAGGATTGTTTGGAGTGTGCAAAAAGCTTCAGTCAAAAGATGCATCTCATTTCTCAAAGGAATGGCAACCAACTGATACATGCATGTGTTTGAACTAAGATAGCAACATTTTCTTTCTTTACATACTGTAAAGACCTGTAGAGATGGCAAGAATATGGAACAGGACACTTTCTTAGTTAAATGCATTTTGCATTTAATAAATATTTTTGTACATGGATTAAGAATAAATTAATGAGTACAAATAACCCAGAATGGATGTCTGAGCATGCGCAGAGCAGTTTGTTGAGCCCTCTCTCGTGTTTACCGCTAGGAACTCTCCTTATGAAGAGGAGGGGCCCCTTCCCACATGAGAGAACACACAAATACCATTTGGTAAACACAAACTGGTTTCAGAAGCAAAGAATTCGAAAGGTGACCTCATCACACCCACACTGTCTTCCCATCACACGACTAGAATATGCCCCAAACAATGTCATTTGTTGCCCCTGTTATAGTGCTCCCAAAGCCCTTGTGGGTTCCGTCCAGAATTCCTCCCACATCCCATTTCCTGGGGCAAAGCGGCCACCCAGTGGGAAGAATGGAGGAATTCTTCCCACTGCTGCGTGTGTGGCGCCCGTGTGGCAGGCACCCAAGCGGATCAGCCAGCCAGCCAGGTCAGCACCCTGAGCTGCACAATGGGGGGCTCACGACACCCTCTCAGATGCGGTTCTGCCCTGCGGGGCATTGCACTGGGGCCTCGCCCCCCTTGCACCCCACTCATCCTGGCACTGCTGCACTCTGCACTGGGTCCTCAACAGCTGTTCAACGTAGCGTCGCCTTGGAAAGATCTTCCAGAAATGTCTCACTCCACAGACTAGACGAGTGACGGCGAACCTTTCAGAGACTGAGCGCCCTGCACCCAAAACTCACTTATTTATTGCAAAGTGCCATCCCTGCAATAAAATCTGAATACTGAGGTTTTAGTTTAGATAAAACAGCTCACACCCAGTCCAAGCAATTATACATAGGTATCCTTGGCAGCGTACTGACCATCCATGTGTCGTCTTGGCTAATGAGTCGTGCCTCATGATGTCATCGCCTGGCGCCGCTACTCCTTTCCGATTGTGCGCATGGCCCCTATGTGTCCTGTTATCCAATGCTTGTGTTACAGGACTCAGCCAGTCAGCAGCTGGGACAAACCCGGGTGGACCCCAGACCCAAGCCAAACGGAGCCTGAGACGGGACTTAGAGCCAAAACCAGCTTTATTCTACTGCACTATAGAATAAAGGGAGACAAAGGGGGACATTCCGCCCAAAGCAGTGTCTCAAAAGTTGCACCCCAGTACATGCGTTTTATACCCTCAGTAACCAATTAGGTCACCTAATACACATCTAATGCATCGATACATCAACGTCTGCACCCCCTCCCATGCTAGAGAAAGAGTTCTTTCTTCTGTCAAGGACTGGACATTTCCCATGCCTATTTCTTGTCTGCTCAAGATTCACACATGTTCTTACTCCCTGCACATTTGCCATGTTCTTACTCCCTGCACATTTGCAACTTTAATGGCAGCTAGAACCAGTTTCCACTGTCCCTTTGATTACTGTATTCGAGGTCAGGCTAGTGTGTTAGCTGTGGGTTATATAATTTCATTTTGTTCTTATCCCCTCTCCCATCTGGGACAGTATAACTGGTTTTTACTATGTGACCTTCCTCTGGCCAACTACTTTTGGGGCCTTTCTCTGGCCAATTACTTTTGGGGTGTTTTGGGGTGTGGCAATTGGTAACAATTTTAGACCTTAAAGTTGACTCTATCAGCTGGTCTATATATTGAACGCAGGCACTCTTCTCACCTTCCATTCTCCCTCTGGATGGCACAGCTGGGCTTACCTTGTCTGTTATGCTCCATTGGCCAACCACTCCCGGCCTGCCTCTCAGTTTTCTCAGTCTGTTTCTCAGTCCCATCATGCTTTTTCATTCTTCATTTTCTTCTCGGTCTTGGGCCTTCAGGAACCCAGGCACAGAGGAACAGTGTGAGGGGAAGAAAGTGTGGGTGTGAGAGGTCCCCTTTTGGATTCTTTGCTTCTGACTCCAGCTTGTTTGGACCAGATGGTATTTGCTTGTTCTTCTCTCCAATGCAGGGAAAAGTGGAGAAGCTTTTAGACAAAGGCATATTCCTCAGCCCCTGCAGGTACTTTCCTTCTGCCAGGTGATGGGAGTAAGTAGAATAAAACAGAGGTGGAGGAGGAAAACATCGAAACATAGAACAGAGTGAGTCAGAAGGGGCCTACCCACCAGGGGCATGTCTAGCCTATCTCTGAACACCCTCAATGTTGGGGCCTCAA